AAATATAAAATTGAGTATAGAATTTTTTCTGTTTTGTATTTTGTGGTTATTTTTGATTCAGATCCCTGTCTAACATCCTGTTTCATTTGTGAAAATTTTGAACAGTTAACCCTATGTGCACAGGTGGGGATCATAGTGTGCAGAGGTGCCATTCAACATGGTATTATGGATTTAATGTTAGAGTTATCAGCTTTTTATGTTATTAGAGAAAATACCAGGTTAGGTTAAATAAATATATATGTAAATAAAAGAATACTGAAGAAACTGTAGATGTGTCTTTAGAAGGTTTTAGAGGTTTTGCAACTTGAAACAATACAATGAACAGAAGTTTTTTCACTTTGTGCATTGACTTGTCAGTGTATATCACACTGATTTTTGTCATTTCACAGACATATATATATATATATATATATAATTTTTTTTTTACAAAACTTTTTTAATACTTTTGAGTTTTTATATACAACAGACTTTTACTTTTATTAATATCTTATCACATTTGGAATTATAATCAACATTACTACCCCAATAAGTGGTCAATCCAATAGACCAATCCTATGCACATTCAGTTAATAGAGAAGTATGATATAGCATTACGTGTGTGTGATTATTCTCATTTTGACTTCTGGTCATACTAATTATTTATGTTTTTGTTTCATAAAACATTTAACAGCAAATCTTAATTTCATTAGTGGAGATTAAGAAAATAAAACTGATTAATGGTGACAAGATCTTATACTTCCTTGAGCTCTGTAGTAATCATGTGATTCTTAACATAAATTTGATGAACCTATAACAGCTCATGGAGTACTGGAGAAATAATGTCTTTTGATTCCAAATTATCATATTAAAACCAGTATAGTGAGTGTTTTTGGTATTAAAATAACACATCTAGTAGTCTTAGATAAATTTATCAAAATGATTGTTGTGGCAGTGTAAAAAATATGAGTGATTTTGAGACATAGAACTATGAAGTTCTTAAATTTGTAGTTTAATTTTACCTGACACTTTTTTGATATATTTATTTTACTCGTATGTTTTAGCATTTCTGATAACTTTTGTAAACATATTTTGTGAATAACTGGTTTTATATTTATGACAACATAAACTAAGCAGAATTTAAATAATTATCACTTCTGAGGTTTCAACAGAGTACTTCCATGCTTTAATCAAGAGTGAAAATTGCATCAACTGCCCAATTTACATTCATGTTTAACCCAGATATGTAGATGGTGATTAACTTGTACATTTTTACATACAAGTATTTATTTTTCCATTTCTCTGTGAACCTTACATTTTATGCAGCTGACAACTGGCAGAAAACATGGCATTGCTGGTAGATATTTAATCCCAACACCAACACTAGCATAAAGTATAAATGTTTAGTTTTTCATTAATTATATTTCTCATAATGCACTGCATTTATGTGTGCAATTCTTGTACAACACTATGTGTGTAAAGATTTGTTGGTCTAGATTGTAGAAGTTTGATCCAGAGTTAACCACTTCAATCACTATTTTTGTTTACTACCAACCACTCTTTGTATCATGATATGAGGTGAAATATGACAAACTCTTGTAACTGCTGCTACATTGAAATAAGTCTGCCATTATGGAGGTTTAAAAATAAGCTAATTTTTTCAGTGATTATTAATGTTAACTGAAAGATTTATTTAGCTTCTATATATGACTGTTTTTGTGTTGTCAGTCTTTGAAGAGAGAGAATTTTTACATAATGTAGTCTTATTTTAGAAGGAGAGTAGAGGAGCTTCTCATTTTACTCTAATGAAAATTTGTCTATTCATTCTAAGGCTGAATCCACTGCAACCATCAATGCTCTAAGTGCAAAAGCAAGGAGAACAAAATTTGCAAGAATGTCCAGTACTAATGCTGTTGAAGAATTCAATGAGGAGCCTACATCTACAGTAAGCAGTGTGTCAGGAATCTGTTATAGTCGGGACTTTCTCTTGGACTGTGCTTTGTCTCCTCACAGTTCTGCTATACCTCTGGACCTAGCATGGATTGCAAAAGAAGCACCTAGTATCATTCGGCAGGTATGAGTTATCTTACACTGTGGAACAATAGTCAGAAAATTTTGAGCTTAATATACTAGGATTGTCTCATTTCATTATCATTTGGTGATAAAGTATTCAGTAAAAACTAATTTCTAGCCTAAACTTGGACCGTGGTAGTTGGCACAAACCCTCATTTTATCGTCAGAATTTGGACCATGATAGTTTACACAAATCCTAGTTTCTAGTCTAAACTTGAAACTTGAGCAGTTGACAGAAACTCGTTACCATAGCCTAATTGGGTACTTGTGTAGTTGACACAAACCCTAGTTTCTACCCAAGATTTGACAACTTTAACATGTATAAAATTACGTTTGGGGACAACATGGGACCTATTGGTCCATATTGGCTGTTCCATCCTCTAAACTAAATTAAAATTATTAACAACAAAAAATCTTAAAGCCACCCCTTATCATTCATATACTTATAAAGCTTTTTCTTAAACCCACTTAAATTTATTGCCTCTACAACATCCGAAGGCAATCCATTCCAAAGGTCAACTACCTTGTTAGAAAAATGAAACTGTCTTAGCTGAAGATGACTCCTACCTTGCCAAAATTTATACTTGTATCACCTAGTCTTGCTATTCTCTCTGTTAGATATGAAAAAAGATGATGCAATCAACGCTATCAGTTCCCTTTACAACCTTAAACATCTCAATCAGATTCCCCCTAACTCTTCTTTTTTCAAGAGAAAACAGTTTGAGAGATTTCAACCTTTCCTCATATGACAACCCCTTCATCCCAGGCACCACTCTAGTAACCCTTCTCTGAACCCTTTCCAACAATTCAATGACTTTCCTAAGGTAAGGAGCCCAAAACTGAACACAATATTCCAAATGTGGCCTAATCAGTGACCTGTACAATGAAATTATAACCTCTTTAGACTTGTATTCAGTATTTCTGTAGATGCAATCTAAAATCCTATTTGCCTTACCACTAGCAACAGCACACTGCTTGGATGACTTTAAAGACTGATCGAATATTACACCAGGATTCCTTTCCTTCATAATAATGTTAAGGTTTTTCGGGTCTCTGCTAGTTATAATTAAAACACATTTGCCATTTACTTGTCCAACTCACTAAATGATCTAAATCCTTTTGTAAATTAGCAGCATCCTCTTCACACCTTCAACACCTTAATATCATCTGCAAATTTAAGTAATTTATTGATCCTTCTTTCAACTATGTCATTGATGTAAATCAAAAGAGCAAAGGTTCTAAGACTGAGCCCTGAGCTACCCCACTTGTGTCATTAATCCAGTTTAACTGAACTCCATTTGTAACAACCCTTTGCTCTCTTCCATCCAGCCACTCTTCTATCCAATTTGCTAACTTATCTCCCACACCTATAGAGATAATTTTTTTACAAGCCTTTTATGTGGCACCTTATCGAATGCTTTCTGAAAATCCAGATACACCTAATCTATACCCTTACTCTCATCTACATAAGCAGTAACCTTTTCAAAGAATGTCAAAAGATTTGTAAGACAAGATTTTCCCCTTAGTGAAACTGTGTTGACTATTCAATAAATTTCTAAATTTTGTTAAATAACTTTGTAAAGCATCTTCTAACAGACTTTCCAAGACTTTTCCCACAACTGATGTGAGATAAATGGGTCTATAATTACTGGGACAGTTTTTATCACCTCCCTTGAAAAGAGGAGTTACATCATCTAACTTCCAATTCTCTGGTACCTGCCCACTATTCAAGGACTGACAAAAAATAGTAGTAAGTGGCTCAAATATCCAATCTTTAACCTCCTTCAAAACTCTTGGGGAAATGTTATCTGGCCCAGGAGCCTTATCGTTTTTTAAACTTCCCAATTTTTTTCTTAACCAACTCCGAATTATTGCAGTAATCTTGTTTGATCTCATTTCCATTTATCAACTGTTCAAGATGTGGAATACTGCTTAAATCTTCATTAGTAAAAACTGAATAAAAAGCACAATTTAATAACTCAGCCATTCTCACAATCTTCAGATACAAGCCTTCCTTTGTCATCCCTCAGGCGTCCTATCCCCATCCTAACATTTTGTTTACCCTTAATGTATTTAAAGAAATTATTACTGTTATTTTTTACATTTTCAGCCAATCTTTTCTCATACATCCTTTTTGATGTCCTAATTTTTAATGTCCTTCCTTTATCATCCCTCAAGGGTCCGTCCTAACATTTTGTTTCCCCTTAATGTGTATAAAGAAATCCTTACTGTTAATTTTTACATTTTCAGCCAACCTTTTTGATGTCCTAATTTCCTGTTTCACCAACTTTCTTGATCTTCTAAATCTCCTGTCATACCGGTCAATTTAAATTTCTTAAATTTATTATGCTTTTCTTTAATTTTATCTCCTTGTGAGCCAACCTGGTTTTTTACTTTTATCTACCCTTTTCTTTCTATAAGGAATAGGTTTACCTTGAATATTAAAAAAATTATATTTAAAAATTTTCCACATCTGATTAGTGTCTCCAAGTAACTCAGCTGCCCAATTCACAACAGATAATTCTTGTCCCATCCCTTCAAAATTGTTTTTTGAAATTT